TTCGTCGAAGTCGGAGGCCGAGGGGCTGACGCAGGCGATCATCACCGTCTTGGCGTTTCCGCCCAGCGAGTCCTTGAGGATCCTGAAGGCGCGAGGGAGAGGGGCGTCAGGGGTCCCAACGCCAGGGCCAGGGCCAGGGCCAAGGCCGGACCCCCAAACAGTCACGGCGTGGCTCCCTGTGGGCTGAAGTGCTCGGCGTGCCTGGGCTGGCGCGCCCCGGGCTTTGAAGGGGTTTCCACCCCCTTTGCGCAGGCTCAGCATCTCCCCAACTCCCAGGCCAGACAGGAGCCCGGCGGCTCACCGGGTGATCTTGGAGTCGCGGTAGGGGATGTGGCTGCCTCGCCGCTGGGGGTCCCCCAGGGCGCTGATGACGTTGCCCAGTGCCAGGAGGCTGCTGTTGATCTGGATGCTCTCCTTGAGCCGCTCGCCGGTGCTGCCTGTCTTGAGCACCCTCTCTGAGCCCGCCAGGTCCACAAAGTGGAACTTGGAGACCAGCAGCTGGCCCGCGGCCGGCCGGGGCAAGCGGCTGGGGGCGCGCCCCCGCTGCTCCAGGGTCACAGTGAAGACCGTGTGTGAGCGGCTGGACAGGCGATTGAGGTGCGTGGCCCCCGTGTGCCGCGCCGCGTTGCCCATCTCCAGGAGGCTCAGCACCTCGTCCAGGCCCTCCACGTCCACTTCCTTCACCCCGCACAGCACTGCGGGCACAGAGGGCAGTGAGCCCCGGGGCAGGAGCGCCGGCACAGACCAGCCAGGAGGCAGGCAAAGCACGACTAGCCCTTCACCCCTCTTCCTCACCCAGTGCCCCCTCCACATTCCCAGAGGGTCCTGCGCATCCTAGTTTGGGCTTCAGGGGCTCCAGCTGCCCCCTGCCCACCTCAATGCCTCTCACTCAGTACAGAAGTATATACCGAATTCAGTGGAGACAGGAAGCTAGAGCAAAACCTTCCAGGCTTGGGTCCTCCCCAGGTGGTGGCCCACCCTGACAGGGAGGCCACCTCTCAGTGCAGGGGAAGCCTCCCCAAGCCGGGCGCCCCACCTGGTCAGCAGGGGACCCCAGAATTCCTCACCAACATTCCCACGCTCATCTTCCCGAAGCTGGATGTCACGGCTGGCAGTGCCCACTTCGAGCAGGTCTCGGAACTCCTCCTTGTACACTTCCAGGTAGGACACATGCACCAGACAGTCCAGCAGGTCGTTCTCATCAATAAGCTTAAAGGCCTCGGCCATGGCCCTTGGAATGATGCCCTGCTCATCCTCGTGGAGGGAGGCTGGGAAGACACCACAGGGTCTCCTGCCACTGTACCTCCACCTGGACATGGCCCAAAGCCCTCAGCTTCTGCCAGAGCTGGAGGATGGGGCTCCAGGTTGGAGAAGGCAGAGAGGCAGAGGCCAGGGCAGGCAGGGTAAGCCCGCCATGCTCCAGGCAGAATTACAGACTTTGAGAGTTGAAAACAACCCCGCATGGTTCAGTCAGCTCCTTTCATCATGTAAGCATCCCTTTCACTATATCTCCAACAGATTATCAGATACCCCCAACTTGATTACTCCCTGGGCAGGGGTTCATTACCACAGTCCATGCTCAGTTGTCTAAAGAGCCTCCTAAACTTATCCCAAGGAAGTAATCAGAGGATGTTCAGAGCAGCACTCTTTCTCATGATTCCAAAAAACAAAAATGCAAACATCCTAAGTGTCCATCCTAAGATTCAATAGGAGATCTGGTTAAATAAACTACTTCATATTTACAATGGAATGCCAGGCAGTCAGTAGAAAGTTAGATTGAATAATATTTAATGTCATTTTTATGATATATTGTTAAGGAAATAAAACAGGATATAAAGGATTGGGTATAGTATATCCCAATTTTTAAAAGTATGAATTTCCCAGAGAAAGAAACTGGAATGCTAATAGGGTGAGGGATTTCTGAAAGGCAATTATCCAGTAAGTTTTATTTTGTGCATGTATTTTTCTGTATTTTCCCTAATCTTTTACAATAAAGTATGCTTCTGTAACTGCTATGGTCCAAATGTTTATATTTCCCCAAAATTCAAGTGTTGAAATCCTCACCCCCAATATGATGGAAGGTGGAGCCTTGGGGGAGGTGATTAGGTCATGGGGGTGGAGAGCTCACAAAGTACCCCTATAAAGGAGACCCAAGAGAGCCCTTCTCTCTTCTACCATGTGAGTTTAGAAAGGAGGCGGTCTGTGAAGAAGCAGGTGCTTGACTCTGCTGTTGCCTTGATCGTGAACTTACCATCTCCAGAACCATAAGGAAGAAATTTGTCTCTAAGCCACTGAGTCTGTAGTATTCTGTTATAGCCGTGGAATAGCCTTAGGCAGTAGCCTAAGAGAAAGCAATCTGGACCTTCAATAGGCCCAAAGGTTCTTTCTCAAAACTCTGCTCCAGGGCTTCACTAAACCAGCCTGCTATGTGGCTGCCAAAGCATATCTCTTCCAGAACAAACAGTCCTCACTTCCACTTCTCTGACTAGAACAGATTCCTAACTCTTGATAGCACCCTGACAACCTCCAAAGACACACCACCTTCCCATGCCCTTCCTCCTCTGAGGTCCCCAGAACTAGGGAGCATGGCCTCATCCTCCTGGAGGTGAGAAGGCCACTTGCCTCCAACGACCCTCCCTGCCCTGCCCTGCCCTGCCCCACTTAGCCCACTGACAAGGCTAGTCCCACCCTGGGCTGCAGATCTCTGTCTAGAAAACTTATGCTCCTTCTCCCAGCACTCCCACCCTCAACAGGGACTGGCAGCAAGCAGGCATGAGGCCACAAGCAGGGTCACTCACCCACACTGGCTTCCCCCATGGTGTATGTCTTCCCGGAGCCCGTCTGGCCATAGGCAAAGACTGTGGCATTGAAGCCCTCAAAGAAGGCCTCAAGGAGGGGCTGCACGCAAGCCTGGTACACAGCCTCCTGTCCGGTGTCCTCGGCGAACACCACATGAAAGCCAAAGTGGCGGTCGCGGCCCAGGGTGACGCGGCCATGTCCTGGCTCCACCTGCAGGCAGCTCTGATGCCCATGCAGCAACTCCTTGGGCAGCAGTGGGCGGACTCTCAGGGCCACTGTCACTGGGGCCTCCTCAGCCACTGGCAGCCTCTGGGCCTCCAGCCCCATGGCAAGGGAGGACTCCTCTGGGCCCTGTGGAGAGAAGAAGCCCTTGCCATCAGCATCTGTACTCCAAGGGCTAGACTCACCTGCATGTGGCCAGGAGCCAGATCCTGCAGCTCATGACCTTGGAGGGGTAGGGTGCCAAAGGTCAGAACACCCTGGTACCCAACCTGGTGCCCAAACGATGCAAGGGCCATGACCTATATAGTTAACATTTTCTGGCTCCCATCACTGGCAAAAGAAGGCCTGGCCTCCTCCACCTAATACCCAGGAGCTTCAGTGTTCCAGCTGCATCCTTCCCCGTGACCTCATCTCCTAGAAGAACACACACACACACACACACACACACACAGCACCACACCAGGGAACGCCTTTCCCTAACGTGCACTGGGTTTATCACAGTTTCTCTCTTTGTCACATCACTGACACTCCCTGCCTCACCTCTTCAAAAGGTCAACCAGTCCTTCAAGACCAAGCTCCCACCACCAAATCCTGCCACTTTCATCTCCTAAATATCAAGTTCACCTGCTGCTTTCCATCCTGTTGCCAAAGCCCTGGTCCTGGCCACAGATATTGTGCCCAGATGACTTTGACCAGCCTTCCCTCTGGTCTAAGTCTCCCTGCCCCCTCCCACAGGGTGGCCAGAGGCATCTTTCAAAATGCAAACACAATCATGTCACTCCCCTGCCTAAACTCTCCCCACAAAAGGCTCCCCACTGCTCTCAGGATTCAAAGCTCTAAAAGGAAGAAAAGCCTTCAGTGTGAGCAACATAGTTAGGCCTCATCTCTTAAAAAAAAAAAAAAATTAGCTGGGCATGGTGGTGCATGCCTGCAGTCCCAGCTACTTGGGAGGCTGAGGCAGAAGGACTGACTGAGTCCTAGAAGTAGAGGCTACAGCGAGCTGTGATCATATCACTGCACTCCAGCATGGGTGAGAGTGAGACTCTGACTTAAAAAAAAAAAAAAAAGACAGCCGGGCTCGGTGGCTCAGCCCGTAATCCCGTGCCTTTGGGAGGCTGAGGTGAGTGGATTGCCTGAGCCCGCACGTTCGAGACCCGCCTGGGCAGGCAAGACCTCATCTCTACAATAAATCAAAAAATTAGCTGGGCGTGGCAGTGCATGCCTGTAAATCCGGCTACTCGGAAGGCTGAGGCGGAAGGATCAC